TAATTTTTATTTGGCGTTAAGTGCAGAAATAATTTATACAAGTCGTTCAGTGTTGTCGCCGCTCTAGTTATATAAATTCCAAATATATATATATATATATACTATATATAAGGTGCCACACAGCTGGCCAACCAAGTGTAAAGCAAAGCGTCAGACTTGAGGCACAACTTGAATGTAGCTGCCAAACAATTGGAAAATCAGCGTGCAAACAGGCGTGCAATTGAGAAAAAGACAGACTGACAGCGAGACCGACAGACAGACAGACTGAGAGAATTGACACACAATGGAAGCTTAGTAGATGATGGGCAAATAGCCCGGCGAAGTGCGACGACGACAATTGCAACTCTTCACGCACAAAGGGGGCGACAAAGTGAATAGGCAACATTTTCAATTAAAATGACAAAAGACGCGCACAAAAGTGGCAAAGACGAAAAGGGCGACGAGCAGTGGGGGGCGTGGCTAACTGGCAACGACTCGAGTGCCTGCAAGCCATTGAGCCAAAAGGATTGTTTGCAATTGGCCAATGTCAACAATCAAATTTTCATGTCTAAGCCGCTTACGCCAGCGTTTTTTATATGGCCATATATCAAAACTAATTGGGCGTGTCCTGTCTCCGCCCCGGCCCCTCTTAATATAATAAATAATACAATTTATTTGAATATCCCGTGGACAACATGCGGTAAATAAGCTTTTGGTTTAATAAATTATGAGAAATTCATAAAGAAAGAAGTATAAATATAAAATACAGGCGCGGCAAATTAGCCAACGCATAAATTTCTCGCTGGCATGCCATATCTATCGATTCGTTTAAATTTACGATCTTATCGGGGCAGGTGAAATATTCTGTCATGGTATACTACTATTGGAATGAATGATTTATAGACATTTCGATGGGCTTTTGAATAAACTAATAGCTAATGTGAAAGTGATATAGGTTAAGCAAATCTGCCTCACGGGATAAACCTTACAGAACTAAGGCACTTGCTCTTGATAGGAAAAGAGTGGGCGAGAAGGCAAGCTTGGAAGGATCTTTAGTAGTGTAGATTACTATTGGGTAACCCTTTTCTGTAAGCCTAAATATCTTTCCCTTCAGATAATAATCGTAATCCTTTTTCATCTTGTTTAATATGTTATTTCTTTTCTGGTAAAAATTGTTCCCCTTTTGCTTAGGAATTTTACTTTAAATATATTTCGTAAACAATTTTCTAAGATATACCATCTTTTTATATTTTTATTAAATATGAAATAATCTCCCACATCTTTCCCAAATGTTACTTACTATTATTAATATATTTTATTATTATTATTATTATTATTGTTTTAATTAATGTTATTATTATTTTTATTAATATTATTATTAATATTATTATTATAAACTTATATTTTATACATTCTGTTAGTTAAATTTTTGACATTGTTTTCTAAAATTTTTTTGTAGTTATTCCTTAACATATTCTGCTCTAGACAGTCTATTAAAAAGTTGTTCAACTTTCCTTTAAAGTATTTTTTCATTTTCTTTCTATTCCTAACAAAATTTTCACTTCATTTCGCTGCGCTGATAAAAATAGCTTTCATATTCTCAATTGCCGCATAAAATGTAATTTGCTAAAACAGGCGAAAAGCCAAATTCGCGTCTCTCTCTTTTTTGTTGCTCCGCCATAAAATTTAATAATGGCAATTCAAGGCAGACCTTGTTTTAGAGATTAGATCTATGCGCTCGTGATTCAATTGCACAGTTGCACAATAAATTAACTAATTGTGGCCTGTGGTGTGGCACGCTTTAAGAGCCATGCAATTTCCGCTGAAAAGTATGCTATGATTTAAGTGCACCCAGAAGTAGGGCCGGAGGGTGCAGAAAAACAGCTGTCTGGGCCATAAAACCCAACTACGCCCTGGCAAGCAATTACCGTTTAGATATGCCAGGTCTATATAAGGGTATAAGAGGCAGACCACAGCAATAACAGCAAACAAGAAGCAGCAGAGAAAAGAAAAACTAGCCGGGTTGTAACTGAGACGTCCAGTCTTAGGGTGCGCAAAGGTCGCGGGGGGTGATAGGCAGCCCTTAGAAATATGCGTGACTGTCTGCCTTTACGTGTGCTCGTGTGTGTGTGTGTGTGTAGCAGAGTGAAAGTGAGCGTCAGAAGTGACACATAAAGCTCATAAATTGTCGCACGCTCAATATGCATATAGGGAGGACAGAAGCAGTGACAGCAGCAGGGGCAGGGGCAGGGGCAGGTGTGGGCTGTAAGTCGGTAAAATCAATAACGATTGCCACGTCGCTGGAAAATGACCCACATGCCCCCGCCCTTCACCAGCCAAAGAGGCTACCAAACGATGACAAACAACTGCCAGCTAAAAAACATATATTTCCACATTCAACAAATAAACAACAACAATACACTCAAAGAAAATTCAACAGAAAATGTGCACAATAAAAAAGAAAAACAAAAGAAAATGCTGTACTAAATACAAGTCTGATTTGAATAGAAAGAAGTGCAGAAAATTTCAAGAAAATACTTTAATTACATTTAATTAAATATACAAAAAATTTTTATTATCGAACTTTAACATTCAAGAAAAAGAAGGAAAATGTGGTTGGATTAAGCTCAAAATATTTAGAATAATTTGCATATTTTTAAAAATTTGTAGACAGGAATTGCAGACTTATATAAAGTTTTTGAAAAACGTTGAGCTCGGCTTAGGAAATGAACAGCTTTTGTCGAACGTAAATTTGAGCATAATACTTTCCTTTCTCTGAGTGTATAACATAATACACACACTTCAATTGTATATGCTTTATGCCCTTGCCTGAACTCTTAAGCTGCAATTCATTTGAAATGCACTGAATAACCCAACTGCTGACCATGCCCATTGCCATTCCCAGTGGGAAATGAAGCGGGCGCAGTAAAAAAATGGCGCATAAATTTCGAGAAGCTGTCGAAAAAAGTCAGCAGCAGACGTCATGAGCACGGGCGTAGTCAAAGGCAAAGGATGTGGGCAATGCTATTAATAGCCGTTGAGATGGCAAAAAAAAAGGATACCAACGAGCTACATTGAAAGACATTTAAAAGGAATTTTGATTCAAGAAATGCGTCAGCCAAACGGAAAGAACTAAATTATGAATAAGCAGTTCTTTATGGTGAGCCGTCAGAAGCCGAAGTTCGTATTTTATTGTGCATTCAGCTTGAACTAAAAATTCTATATTTGAATAATTCCAACCTCACTTAAAAGGGGCATATATATAGCTTAACAGTGAGAGTCAAAGGAGGAATATTTTATACATAGTTCTATCTTTTTAGCTGATATATTATAAAACATATTTCGCATTATCAAGTTTTAATCTTGCTTAAAATAAAGTCACATGTTGTATAGTTTTTTTAAGCACTTTCGTTCTTTTAGTTCCTATTACTTTATTTAAAGAAATGATTGAATGAAAGTGAATTTATAATTACCTTTTGACACTTGTTTATTATATAATTATATAAATAAGTATAATTTTTGAATGCCAATCGATAGCTCTGATCGATACGAATGCATTACAACATTTTTTTCGAAAAAAATTGTATGTCAGAGTTTTATAAACATAACAGTTTAATATTTTAACTCCTTGAATTTAAAACAGGGTAAATAAATAACTTTCCTTATCTAATATGCATATTTAGCTTTGAGCCTCAGCCCTATCCCTTCTGTAGTTTTTGACGTCCGCCCATGAGGTCTGCGCCAATGCCTGAATTATACGCTTAAAGTATTTTAGAGTGTGCTGCGCCTGCTCTCACCCCGCTGGTGCGTTGAACCCCTCAGCTTTTTCTGTACCCAACGAACGCATTTGAAATATATTTTGTGGAAAAACAAATTCCATGCATGTCCGGCTCGAACTGGGTTTTCCGTTTGTGGCCTTTACATATTGCAAGCGGCCTTTTGGGCCTGGACGCAGGACCAATGGCAAACTAATTTCATGCACAAAATGTAATTTGTATGGGGAGTACAGCAACAACAACAACAACAACAAAAGGCAGCAAAAGGCCATAAACATACGTAGAGCGGTACTCTTTAGTGTTTTGGCCATTTTTGTTTGGCTGCTTTTGGCTATTTCGTGTCGAGCTATTTAAAATTTGTGTTGTATAATTTTTAATTTAGCCGCTAATTTATGCGGCGCCTCACAGCACGTGTTCAGTTTATATCAGCAGGCGTTCGGGTGGGGCAGTACTTACAGCAGGCACTGTTCAGTCAGACGTGGCCAACATATTTGTGTAAGTGCCGCTTTTAATTGACAGCCGGCGCTGGGCCTTTTGGCCATTCAGGCATTTGGGCTGGGGTCAGCTCTTTTAGAGCTAGACAATTAGGCGTGTAGTCGAGGGTCCTGTGCAAATAGCTGACCCTAATTCATGAAGGCATTAAGAGCGTAACTAAAGTGAAAACAAGTGCTCGGCATCAGCTAAAAGGTAGCTTGCAAGTGAAATAGAGGTGCCTGAGTGGGTGCATAAAACATTAATGCCAACTAGTTAGCTAATTGCGCTGCTTGATTGAGATATGGTTAGAAACTAGTTGGTTTGTGGCTGAACTTGGACAACCTCTATGCGTATATTTGAACAAATGGGGGAAATCATGTCTTACAATAGAATCGGGAAACTCAGATCAATTCCAATTATTGCATTTTCTATGTACAGCTAAGTTTCTAGTTGCCGATAATGTCTACGTCCTTGTGTTTGTTTTTTCTTCTCCCTTTGAAATAATATTGTTATCAACTTCTTACCAGGCCCGCATGCACTATATGCAGCCAATATTATACTCGAGTCTCAACTAGCCATGCGGACATGAAGAAAATTACAAATGTGTTTCTATTAAAACTGAAAATTTTTAATAATAGGCTTTGGTTCTGTTCACGGATGAAATCAATGCTTTACATTCCATAAGAATATTAAACATATTATAAAAATGTCATACATATTTTGGTAAGCCTCACTCACCTTTCATTCTCACTCTCTCTATCGCCCTGGCAGCATTCGCAGCAGTCGCGGCTCGCTTGATAGCATTGGGACCGCTGCCAACGGCAGCTCGGCGGCAAGCCAGGCCAGCTCCAGCGGCGGCTCCACCAGCAACAACAGTAACAATATCAACAACAACAACAACAATAATAATAACAACAACAGCAAAATGGATGGCAGTCCACATCATCGTCCGGGCTCACGAAATGGACGCGATAACTGGACCAAAATGCCAGAACCGCTCAACGGCCACAAGGTGGACAGATCGGAGAAGTCATCGCCATCGCGTCGCAGCATGGGCGGCGGCAGCGGCAGCTCATCCAAGCAGGGCTCGCCCTCGTCCTCATCGCGCACCAAGGGCGTGCCGCCCAGTTTTGGTTATGTGAAACGCGCCAATGGCAGCATCGCCTCCACGGCGGAGCAACAGAACATCGCAATGCTGATGGCAGTCGGCGGGGGCCAGGCCATGGTCAATGGCTTGCCCTGCGGACGCACCGCTCACGTGTCCGCAGTTCCGCGCACCGCCAGCGGCCGCAAGGTCACCGGCGGCACACAAACCCTACCCAATGATATGAACAGTAAGTTGTGATTAGTTATTATAATAAATTTTATAAATTCTACTTATTTTCGCTCCCTTTAGAGTTGCCACCGAATACGCAACATCGCAGCTTCTCGTTGACGGGCCCCACAGCAACACAGCTGAGCCAGTCCATACGCGAGCGTTTGGCCACGGGTTCGCACAGTTTGCCCAAACCTGGCAGCGATATGCAAATATTCCAGCACAGGTAAGATAGTTAGCTTAAGGGATAAAGTATCTTTACATATTTAACCAGCTAGTATTAGTATTTCGGTTTGTCGGGCAGTCAGTTAATAAATCATTTAGTCTATTCATCAGTTAAATATTTAGTTTGTTAATTAGTCCATCAGTCAGTCGTTCAATCGAACATTGACTTACTAATCATTTAATCAGCTGATCAGTCAATTAGTTAGTCTATCAACCAGCCATTCGATCAGTCAGTCAGTCAATCAGTCGATTGGTCAGTCAAATCAGTCAGTCATTCAGTTCGTCGCTCCGTCATTCAATAAATCAGTCAGTCGATTTGTCATTCAATTAGTCAGACCTCAATCAGTCAATTGGTCAGTCACTCATTCAGTCAGTCAGTCGTTCAATCAGTCAGACGATCTGTTAATCAATTAATCAGTCAATAAGTTAGTCACTCTAACAGTCAGTCAATCAAATACTCAATCAAACAGGCATCAACCAGTCGATGCGCCAAATAGTCGGTTAATCAGTCATTTTATCAGTAAGTCCATCAGTCAGTCCATCAGTCAGTCGATCAGTCATCCAATCAGTCAGTGGATCAGTCAGTCAGTCAGTCAGTCAGTAGATAGATAGCCAATCGACCATTCGTTCAGTCCCCGAGTTCAGTTAGACCCCGAGTCTATCAGTAAGTCAATCATTGAGTTAGTTAACCAGTCAGTCAATCAGAAGTCAATCAAAAAAATATTAATAATAAATTTATTTATGATATTCTTTTCTTCAACAGAATCTCTACGCGTGGAGGCGCCACTCGCCACGATGGGTCGCTCTCTGACACGCAAACCTATGCGGAGGTCAAGCCCGAGTACAGCTCGTATGCCATGTGGCTGAAGCATAGTAATACGGCGGGCAGTCGCCTCTCTGACGGCGATGCCATAGATCAGATGCAGATTGGTTCGCCCGCGATGACGCGTCATGGCCACAAAATGCTGCACAATCGGGCATCGGGCACAGTGGGGCAAATGCCCGTTCAGGGCAATGAATCGCCCTATGTGCAGAGTCCGCGCATGAATCGCAGCAATAGCATCAGGTGAGTGCCGTATGAATAATGTGAATGTATTAGAGCATGCCCCCTCTATCTCTCCCTCTTTTTATCTCTTTTACTCTCTGTCTTTCTTCCAACCTGCAATTTCTTGTACAATTTTTTTCGTTTTGCCTCTAAAAGCTATCTGAAAGAACGGACATATCCAAGGTGACTTTTCCTCACAAATTGCTCACTTTTTGATATATACACATGAGCGTGTCTGCGGGTGTGTGTGTGTGTGTGCCACGCCCATTATTAACTTCGCACTCGCAAGCAATCAGCTTCAGTTGCCACTTGTCGCGCTTGTCTCGCACTTTAAAAGCGTTTGCCGCTTGCAATTTACATTTACATGTTGCACACTTTGCAGCGTCGCCAAAAATGCAGATTCAACACGCGTGTGTGTAGCAGAGTGTGTGTGTGTGTGTCTGTGTACGTGTGGATGTGTCTTGTGGCACACGTCTGACTTTAGACGCTATGTTCATAATGTGCTCGTATGCCCTAAAGACAGACGGGTATGTTGCCTTCGCTTGATATATGTACAGTCAACAAAGTTACGTTTATTTTATAAAATTGCCAAAGAATGAAAAAGTTTATTCATTATAGAGTATATTTTTATATGAAAAGAATTTACCTTATATATATATTTCCAGAAAATATAAAAAATTAAGAAAATTATTGAAAGGAGTGAAGAAATTTGTAATAGATGGGGGAAATTTAAAGCCTGTCCGACAAGCTATGCCTTCTTAGTTTCGTAGAAGTATTTATAAAATCTGCAAAAATAACATGTGCAGATTTTTCCAAGTTTTTCTAATTGAGTAATTGAAACCCTTTGTTGATTTTCGATTTTAATTGGATTACTGTATTTCAGAAAGCTGTCAAATGTCCCACAATCATTTCTTTAAATGTATGTTTGATTAGATTTTCAAGGGTTTTTCCTTTCTTGGCCATTAAAATGTTAATGTCTTTTTAAGAATTTCAATGCTGATACTGCATGACAGATCTATATTTTAAATGCCTAGCTTCAATAGGGATCGTCTGTCCAGCAGAACGAACATTCCAATAAACTTAATAATAACTCCAATAAACTTTCCAAAAATATCCGAATAATAGTAAAACAAGCAGATAAGCTATTAAACATATTCTTTTTATAAATAAATATAAATAGAAAAATATTAAAAATAGCAAAACAAACAGACATGATAATAGAAATTCTAAAATGATTAAGAAAATCTTTCTAAAAATAATATTTACCAGCTTTTCTCGATAGACCCTACATATTTATATATTTTCTTAGCCCGCCCTGTGCAGTTTATCTGACTTTGTAGTGCAGATAAATAAAGCCAGCTTTTTTTTAAAATTCCTTTCGCCTGTCAGCTTATGCACACACTTACGCACACACATGCGTGCGTGTGTGTGTAATGAGCTGTTTTTGCAGCTGCGCGCGTGAAAGTATGCAAGCAATTCGCAATAGTTTAGTCTTTATAGGGTCGGAGCTTGACATATGTTTGCAGTTGCCATGTCTCGTGCATATTTTAAAGCTACAGTAAAACCCCTCGAAAAGCGAAAACCCGTGAGCTGACGGCACGCCCAAATAGTTAAAGGGAAACTTTTATAAAGGTGGAGTTGATGGGGGCCAGCAATGGCAAACAGACAATGTGAAAGTTGTGTAAAACAGCAAAGTGGGCAAAAAAAAAAAGTGAAAAAGGAAAAATGAGCACGAAATGGAAAACGAAAAAGTCGGAATATGGACAGTTGGGGGAAGATCTCGACGTATAAGTGTAAATAGCAGCGCCGAGCAGTTGCCGTCTGTGGCTGGGTGAGGGGAATAGCGAGGTGCTGGCCAGATTATTGTTTGACATGTCAATAGGTTTGTGAACCTTTGACTTGGCCATGCAACAGCCACAGCTGAAATGAAGTTGCGCCTCGGGGCTGCCATTTCGGCGTTGTTGTTATTTTAACTTTATTCTGGCCACGTCAGCAATTCACAGTTAGCAGTTGCCGGTTGCCAGTTGGACGTTGGCTATGCCCCTGCAGCCGAGTGTTGACTCTCGAGTGCTTCATTAAAAATTTTTAACAGCAAATGGTACAAAAATAAATGCAGTAAAGGGCAGAGAGAACACGGATGTGTGACAGGTAAAAAGAATTTTCGGGAATTTTTTACACAAATATAGAGCGAGATTGCAAATAAAACCTTTAAATAGCTTTAAACTGAAAGTATCACATAAGAAATTATATAAAACAGTTTTTGGCAATATGGTTGGTTATAGTTAAGAACTTAGTTAAATCATTTAGATTTATCTAAAAGCTACCTTTTAAATATTCGAAGTCTAAAAGGGTATGAAAATATAAGATTTTCGAAGTCATATTGACTACGGGGGTCAAACTTACATAGAGTGAAGTTTCGAGAGAGCAAGAGAGTAAGCAAACGATCGTAAGGGGAATTCATACTCAATCAATTTTTATTGTGACCAAAATGCGATAAGCAACAGAAAAAATCGTGAGAGTGCAATGCATAGTCAGTATGTAGATAACACACAAGCGAACACACAGCTAAACAAGTGTATGCAGGGGGAATCGCAAGATATGTACACATGTGTATATGCGTACTTGTAAATTATCTACTTTGCTCTCACGAGTTATTCTTGCTTCTTATCTATCTAAATAAACCTTTCTCTTTTTTCTGAGCTCCGTATTTTGCTCCGCTCTCCGCTCGCGCAGCTTACACTCACGTGCATAAATAGATAACTTACAGGCGAACACACAACTAAACAAGTGTATGCAGGGGGATCGCCAAATATGTGCAGATGTGTATATTCCATTTAAAGAGACTCTCTGTAGCTTTGACCCCAGTAGTCAATCGCACATTAATGCATAGTGAATATTCTGCACAGAGACAAGTTGTTAATTGCTGGTTGTTAAAAATGTTATGTATGTGCATAGCTAATCAATTTTGTTTAATTCAAAGAATCAGAATGTTTGAACGTCCATTAACAGTCCTGCCTGAAATTTAATATATTTGATACATCTATAAATTGCTATAAATCGGGTATATAAGGCCCGATCTTGTTAGAATGTACCTCCTTCAAGTCAACATATTCCAATATTTATATTCCATAATATTTTACAAAAGCTTAAATGGCTACTGAGTAAGCCCCATTGACTACTGGGGTTCAATTAACACAAAATAAACTTGTGCAGGCCGGCGCACAGAATTTCAGTAAGCATATGATCATAAGGGGAATGCGTACAGAAGCATAATAAGTATGTAGATAACAAAAGCGAACACACACTCGAACAGATGTAATCTGTAGATATGTATGTCCATTTGTTTGTGTATATGCATGCTTAAGCATTATCTACTAACACATCGCGCTCTCACCAATTTTTGTGGCTGCTTATTGATCTAAACAAGCCCTGCTCAATTTTCTGAGCGCCGTTTTTGATCTGCTCTGCGCTCATACAACTCAGTTCTGTTAAGCAAGCACACACGTGCATAATTAGATAACTAAAAAGCGAACACACACCCAAACTAGTGTATGCAGAGATAATCGCAAGATATGTACATATGTATGTGTACAGCATTATCTACTTATTATCGCTCCAGCACTCTAAATGCAACTTTCTGTATTTTCTGCGCACCGTATTTTTGAGTCAGATTTGCGCTCGCGCATCTTTGTTCTCTGTTAAGCAATCACACACGTGTATAAATAGATAATTGACAAGCGACCACACACCCTAACAGGTGTAAACAAGGGGAAAGAAGATTATACGTATGTGTATATTCATGCTTATACATTATCTACTTATGCATCGCTCTCTCCAGCATTTTGGTTGCTGCTCATTGCTTTAAGCAACACTTGCCTTTTTCTTTGTTACGACCGATTTGCACTCGCGCATTTTAATTGTGTTAGTTTGATTTCAGTTGTGAATGTGACAAGCTGCGAAATTAGAAATTGAAGCAGGCTCAAGACTTTGCTTAGGCACAATGTGTTTCTATTTTGGTGGAGTTAAAATTAAATGCACGATGTTAAAAAAGTGGATTTTATTGGAGTTGATTGCGCTTAAGTCGCCCAGTTAATGGTGAAGTGCTAAATGAAAATGAAAAGCAAGGCAGGTAAAGCAAGTCAATTATTAAACTAAATCAAACTTAAAACTCCTCGAGTTCAAAGTCGCAAACGGCCGAAAGCAAATGCACAAACAAAATATCAAGTTTGGACATTGAAAAAAGAGTGGAATAAATTTTCATATTTTTGGAATAATTAAAAGTTAGTTCTCATAATATGCATAAGTTATATTATTCAACTTAAAATATGTTCTTGCATAGGAATAAAACCCTTTACCAAATAAAAGCTTGTGTAGAATAAGGTTAAATCAGGCACAATCAGACTCTTGCTTTAAGCCTAGGCGCCTCTTTAGTCTAGGCTCTTTTGCCAGTACATGTCGTAACACCCAGCCCATTCGCCTTGACCTCTGACTCTTCCCACAGATGGCTTTGTTGGCCCGCCAACTAATATGCCAGCAGTTACAGACCGAACTCTTGCTTTCAGTGCATCAATTATGCAGTAGGAAATGGCAAGTGGAAACAACTACAAGAGCAGTGGGGCAAACACCAGCAGAAACCAGTTTGGTGGCTTGTTATCAAATTTGACACCAGACCAGACCAGAGCAGAGCAGAGCAGAGCCGAGCAGAACAGGGCGGGGTGGGGCGGGGCATTTGGTAAAAGCCCATGAGAGTAAAGTAAACGCCCTGAAGCGTACCAAAAACCCTAACAAACACACAAAGATACTCTGACACACATACGCTTACCACAAATGCAAACAGGGCAAAGTTGTGCAGACGAAACACCAGAGAGGGGCGGGGCAGCAAAGTGAACAGACGAGCGAACACATGACGTATACGTAATATTAGATTTGCATGCGAAATGCCATTAATGTCAGTTATCAGCAGCTGGAGCAGGAGCAGGAGCAGAACGAAATGGCAACTTGGACAGCACAGATTTGTCCAGCAGCGGTTCCTCCTACCCTGCTACCCATACAACTCACATCAACCCCTTTTTTGTAGCTCTGTGTCTTTTCTGTGGTCATTTGCTTTACAAGCTTTATAAGTACACTCAGAGAAAAGCGAAAATATAAATTCTTATGTAGCTGAGCAGGAATTTAAGGCATCATGTACCTTCAATTTAAAGTACATTTTTTTCTTAAATATTTTTAAATTAAATATGAATTATGCTTAATTTAATATTTAATTCTCAACGTTTTTAAATCAGACGAAAAGAACAGTCTTGAATTAAGTAAAAAATAGTTTTATCGAGAATTTGTGTACCTGAAATAAACAGAAAAGTTTAGTTTTTATTTAATAAGTCCTGTAAGTGGCCAGTACGGGCTTAAATAATTTCATAAAATGTAAATGAGATGCTTAGCCTTAGACATATTTAGCTTGAATTAAGCAGACATTTTTTCAATGTTTTTCTCCGAGTGTATCGTGTGACATGTATGACAATTTGTCGAGGGATTTGGCATGAGAGCTGTATGGACATGTCTCACTTATGTCGTTATCAGTTACACACACACACGCACACTCACACACTATGCACACGCACACGCACACTCATACACTATACACACTCACACGCACACGCACACACTCATGTCATATTGTCGCTGACGCAAATTAAACGGAAATTTGCGCAGAGCCTGAAGTATGCAACGTTCGCGTGCAGATTGGCCTAATAAACTGCACAACCACAACGGAAATTTGCAAGCGTCTGGCAAACACACACCACGCACACACACACATATATATACAACTGAAACATCAACAGCCTTGTGGCCAACGGTGTTGGCCAAAATGTTTTGCCAATTGGGGCAGCTTGCGGTCAGCTTCAGCAGCGCAATAAGCTGCATAAATGCATCCACAATAAATTAATTAATTGTTTATACTAAGTAAAACGCGTTAATACGGTGGCTTTTGCTTAAATTATGTTGCTCTTAAACATGCGAGCAATTCATTTAAAATTTATTAAATGCTTTTAATATTCATTTGTCATTGTGTGCTAAAAGCTCAAGTCCTTTTAAGCCTTAAAAGGTTTGTTGTCGGTTTAATTGCTTTTCCACTGAAAGTTGATTGAAATATAACCTAATAAAAGAGCTATAATTAGCAGAGTTTTATATAACAGAGGTACGATAAAATTGTTCTATATTAGGGCACGAAGGAGAGTAAATAGCATCAATAATATTATTGAGAGGTCCGATTAGGCCGACTCAAAATAGTTCTATTACTTTTAACTAAAAACGTAAAACTAACTTTAATTATTCACATATGAGTAAGAACCCGATCGTGTTCTAAACAACAAATATTATACAGCCATTTTCCACCAATATTCCACAGCTGCGGGTGAAATTCTCTAAAAGTTAGCATGCACTCATAGTTGAGGTGTTCCGCTTGGCTTTGCATTGCTTATCATCATCAATCATTAGTCAGTCATCAATTGATCAATCAGTCAGTCAAACAAACAGACAGTCATTTAATATATTTGTGATTTATTTTTATCAATTAATATTGAAAAACTTCTTTGCTTATTTGCCAAGCTTAACATTATATTTTTGCTTCTGACTTATTCAAAATTGTATTAAAAATAGACGGTTCACAACACTTGTTCTTTCTAATTGTCTTCTTTTTGTTACATTTAATCACTGCAAATCACTGTGAAATCACAGTTACTTTCTCCGCACAACACAGCTCGCTTGTCGACTCATAAATTCGTTTGCACTCGCCGCATAGCCACACACAATTTAGTCATATTAAGACACACACACAGCCAACCATATCTACACCCACAAAAACACACCCGCCCCCACACACATACCACAAACAACAGCAAAATCTAATCACATTTTTCGTTTTGGCCATGCAATTACTCACAGATCCACCAAATCGGAGAAAATGTATCCCTCGATGCTGAGCCGCGGCGGAGACGTGGAAATCGAGCCCTACTACTGCCTGCCCGTGGGCACCAACGGGGTGCTCAGCGCCCAAATGGCCGCCGCAGTGGCCCAGGCCCAGGCCCAGGCCCAGGCTCAGGCTCAGGCCCAGGCACAGGCGGGCAATGTGGCCGGCAATGCGGCTGCCGTGGCCTGGAGCCAGCCCACCTCGCCCACGCCCCTCAGTCGCGGCCCCTTTGCGTCAGCTGCGTCTGCGCTGTCGCCCACACACGGCACGGCGGCTGCGGCCCTGGCAGCGGTGGCAGCAGCTGCAGCGGGAGCCGGACATGGCGGCGGCGGCAACGCATCGCATCGTCTGACATATCCCAAAAAGAATGATGAAGGTGAGTGTGAATAGGAGTTCATGTACAGTGAAAGCTCGCCAGAGCGAACTTAATTTGTTGTTGTACAGAAATGACAAAAAAAAGAAATACCTATTAAAAATTTGGTTTAATCTAGGACTTATTTTGTTTTATTTATAATATTTTCAAGAAACATATTCAAAGAAATAACAAAAAAAGATTAACCTTAAAAAAAAATATGCTAGGTTTTATCTTGATTTAATTTTTTTATTTATGAAAACTTAATCAATGAAATGACAAAAAAAAAAGAAAAGTTAATTACCAAGCAAAAAATGTTTTAAAAAAAGGTTAAATTTTAAAATTTACATGATTTTCTATCTTTACACAAAAGATAATCAGGAATTGTCGATTTTATTAAAATAAGTTTCATTTGTGTAGCTTTCACTGTACATATATCTATAGCTACAGTTATAGATAGGACAAATTCTAATTTCTCCACCTCTCTAACCCTTCCAGTTCATGGCAGCGCCGCCTCGCTGCTGTCGGGCGGGAGCTCGTTGTACGGCTCGGCAGAGGAGCGACAGGCGCATGAGATACGCCGCTTGAAGCGCGAACTGCAGGATGCACGGGAACAGGTGCTCAGCCTGAGCAGCCAGCTGTCAACCAATGTGAGTATATAACAAATGCCAAGTTTAACTATGAAATGCGAATACAGTTGAGTGCTTTTCAACTGTCTTTCAAAGCTAATCCAATGTTCAGTTTAGTGAAAGATTGATGAATATATAAAACGTTTTTCTTTTACGGGTTAGAAAGTATGTTGGGCTTAAAGATATCTTTTAATATGTTATGGGCAGCACTCTGGCAGTCCTAAAAGCTGGTTCTATTTTGTCTGGGCTACTCATCTGATTAACTCAGATGATTTTATTGACACGGGCTAAACTCAAGTCGTACGAAAATTCAGCTGCGCACTCAGACCTTGTAAATATAGCTTAGGATCTAGTTATTTCTTCTTCTCTTCTATGTATTTCCATATACTTCAATTACAGTTTTTAAAAATCTTTCATATTCAAAGTTCATATTGCTAAAATATTTCGATAATTTCATATATTAAATTGAATGGAATGAAAATTTGAACAAGACTTCAATATTGTTGAATATAAGAACTCCATGAATATGCCACAAACTTTTTTATTTGAAATTAATGTTTTCCTTTTCCTTTTAATTGAGTTGAGAATTATAACGAGGAAAATAGATTTTCTTCTGCATAAATCGCGTAATTCCCTTAAATCCAAGCAGCTTTCTTCTGGTCTCCTTGCTCAACTATAAATAATTTAACAGCACATATTTTACAACACGTTTACAACACTTTTACAACACTGTCGCAAGCTTGGCCAATTGCCATGGGGCACATTCATCTGCTGCGGCGGCTGCTGCTGCTGCTGTTCTCGTAAAAAGGCTGCAACATTTGGCGGCAGCTGGTGTTGCAACATTTTGCGCATTTCCATTGCCTACTTTGGGGCATGCCTCAAGAATGCGATTGCCGACGTTGAAAAGGGCTGTAACAATGTTGCGGCTGCTGCGCCTCAGAATGTATGTGCTTTAAATTGCTGCAGCACGGCTCACGTGCAGCTCACGCTTCGCCTCACCTGCCCTTACCCCACCCCCCAGCATCCCGCTCAACGCCTTATCGACTGCTGCAACTGTTGTCGCACTTCAGAATTCATTCGCTTCGCTTATCGGCGCCGCAGTCGAGTCGCATTCTTGTCAGCGCAACTTTTACGCCAAGTTGCCTCGCATCATATTCCCAGCGACGATGTCTCCACTGTCTGCCACGCCCTATACTCTGTCCCCCCTCTCTGTCTCTTTCTTGCGCCTTTCTCCCACTGTCGCTGTGTGTGCCTCAAGTTGTCAACAAAAGTCACGCAAAAGTCTGATAAACTTTCAAAGCAGTCATACAAACGTACTGCGCGCATTGGCTGGGTGAGGGGGGAATGGTTGGCGGGGCTTTGCAGAGTTTTGCCTACTTTCGGGCGGGCGGGAAATTCTCTTCATATGAGCACAAGTTGATTTTATTGTAGTTTTTCTTGGATGCGCTCATATCTCAAATAACTCGTCAACAATTTTCAGGCTCAAATGATATAAACTTTAAATTGCATTTCATCAGGCCGCTGGCAGGGGGAAGTGGGTAGTGGCGGGTACTACCAATTTTCTTTTATTTTACGTCTTGGTACATCGTAAAGTATTTTATGGCCACACACACCCTTCCTTCCCGTTTCCCTCCGGCCACCCCGCCAAGCTTTCACCAACACACAGCTATCAAATTTATCGAGGCCAGCCAAGCAGCCAGCCAGACACACTATTAGACATTTCTCCAGACAACATAAATCTGTCCCGACATGGCTATAAGGTGTGTAGTTTTTTGGGAGCAGAGGGTGGGCGGGTGTCTAGTCTCAAGGTCAAGGCGTACGTGTAAATTGCTTGGTGGATGCCATTTGATGGATTCTTGATGTGAAATTACTTTTTTTAGTGGGCTCGAAATTGGTTGAAAGCTGCTCAGGTAATTGTTAAAGACATGGTTAAAGGTAGCCAGACATGTTTAAAGGTTGCCAGACATGCTTAAAGGTTGCCAGACGAGGTTGAAGGTTGCCAGATGTGATTCAACTTAGACACATATTCATATGTATTCTCAAAGTTTCAGCTTAGAGATTAGCTCAGAGATAAAATGAAGCAATCGTTAGGATTATCTTATAAATTGCAAGGTATCTGTTCACTGAGTCGGTCAGAGATATAAATTACGGGGTAGCTGTTCACGGAGTAGCTCAAAGATGGACTGAAATCATCCTTTATATTATTTTATACAAGGATTGCAAGGAATCCGTTAACAGAATAGCTTAGAAATAGACCAAAGCAATCGTTGAGATTCTTCTATAAATTACAGGGTATCTCTTCCCGGAGTAGCTAAATGATAAAATAATGCAATAAATTACAGAGTACATCTCAGAGATGGACTAAAGCAATTGTTTGGATTCTTAAAAGATTTTCCTACATTTCAAAAGCATTTCCCTGAGCTTAGTTTTTAATTCGATTAATTCGTGGCGCGTGCGAATGCAATCGATAGAGACTTAAGAGAATATCTCAAACTGGGAATTCGATCATAGAAAACATGATACAATGCCACGCCTCCATAGTGGGCGGGCCAGCTGTTTATAGTTAACTGAGTGCATGTGAAGCAAAGAATGGCAGTAAAAAATGCGTTTTGCCGTTTGGCTGTGACTCGGACAAAGTCAAGAAAAAGAAAATAATTGCAATGAAGTTATGTCTGGATGCCATTTGCACTTATTATGGCATTGCTAGAGGGGCGTATGAGGAGGGGAGGGGCAGCAGAGTGTGGCATCTGCTTGATATGTAGCTAGGAATTTATGTGGGTTGCCTCAAAGTGGGTCGACTGTGTTGCAGCTAGACATGAGCATGAGAAACAGTTGACTGAGAGTCTCGTCAAGAGTGCGTAACGCTCCGAGGAAACCTTATCAAAGACTGAGGCCAAAGTGAGCTAAGTTTTCATAAAAATATATACAGTGCAAACTTTTTAAACGGACACTCCCGTTAGGCGGAAGACCCTCTTTGGTAGGAGATTCGCCCGCAAACCTCTGCGAATCTGGTCATGGCCAAGCCCCTTCATTAGGCGGACACTGCACTTAAGCGGACAAAGATTACACGATAGTCGGTGTCTGCTCAACAGAGTATTCACTGTACGTCGTCTGGCTGTAAACCCTGATAGGTGTACCTGAAATAAAAAATTTGAATATACAAAAATTATTTGTACTCTCTATAAAATTTCGCTACTAAACTAAATTCTGCATCTTGCCTTTACTTTCTACAACTTGTGAGCTACGTTTTCCCTTTATACATTTTTTTAAGTGGTTCGGTTTAAAGGGGGAAAACATTTTTGAAGTTTATTTATACTTCACGTCTTCAAAAATATAAACATAAAATTTTTTAATATTTTTTCTATCATTTCCCAGCTTAATTAAGTATTAAATTAGCTACAAGTTTTTATTTTCTTCAACTTGTGAGCCACGTTTTTCCCAAAAAAACGTTTATTGTTCGGCTAATAGGGGAAATCAAACTTGGGAATTCATGCTCAAAACCTTTTTGCAGTCTTTAAATATATTATATAAATACGAATATTACTTTTATTATTATTTCTCAATTTCAATAACTTTTGAGCTGCGTGTCTACAATTTCTTTTTTTTATTAGTGGTTCGTTTTACAGTGAAAAAATGTTCTATTCATATTCAAACCCGTTTTGCAATCATAAAAAATATAAATACAAGATTTTTTTTTTATTTTCGGCAACATTTCGCTGCTTGAATGAATTCCTTATTAATTCTTTGGCAACTTGTTAGCTGCGCTTTTCCATAAATATATTTTTATTGCCGCAAGTCAGCAAAAGTTGAAGTCAAACATAAAATTGACATAAAATTCTGCTGCTGTTGTGGCAAGTTGAACAACAATAGCAACTACTTTTTTATCTCGCAATTTAATTAAGCGCCCAAATGGTTTGGTGGGCGTGGCAGAAACTTTTTGCCAACTTGGTTAACTTGAGGCAATTGCAAGCGTCGTTTGTTGCCGCATTAAAAACTTCAAATGTTGCACAATTGCAACTTTTTTGCCATTTGAGCAGACTTGAGAAGAGTCAAGACTAAATGCCGATTGTTTTTAATGCAATCGCAGTGCCACGCCCCATTTTGTTTGAAATGAAAAACTTTTGTAATTGCCCATTCGACGCTTTCCCCTGTAATTGCATGTCCCTCCCTCCTCCTCCCTTGCCGGAGGTTCGATTGTGTTGGCGCTTAATTAATTTCCGCTGTGAGTTATAACGTCATAAATGCCAATCCGTCTGCCACACAGCTACCCCAGCTCTCCCCTCGCTTGTCTACCCCAATCTCACACCCCCCCCCCCTCTCTCCCACCATTCAGACGTCAGCAGTTTTGCGGCATATTATTTGCTATTGGCCGTTTTTATTGACAGACATCTACGCAATTTCACTTTGCGGTCGCACAAAAGCAGCAGCAGGGAAGCTAAGCAGAGTCCCTGGGCAAAGCTCCATACTCAAGTATACCCCACATCCCCAGCACTATAGTGCCCCCCCCCCCCCCTTCCTCTTGTTGCCCCTTTGTCTGGTTTGAATTGCGTTCGCTTTGTCAGTTTTTTATGCTCTTCTCTGGCAGCAGATGCAGTTTATAAAGTTTTTCAAATGCATTAAAAATATATATATGTGTGTGTGTGAAGGAATCTCTCTCTCTCTCTCTCTCTGAAAGCGGTTGGGAAATGATAAAAAGCTGTAGAAATAAGTCAAATACGAACTAAGCTAGTTTGGAATACAGCAGATAGTTAAGTCGATTCTGAACATATGTGTCCTATATAAGTTAATTCATGCGTGTATAATATCTCAGATGAAGGAATATATGCAGCACCTTAATGCTTCTCTGATGTGTTAATTTTCAATAAAATGCCAACTGAAACGCATATCAGATGTGGATCTTGTGCATATTTTTTTGCCTTCGCAACAAATGGCTTAGTTCAGATTTTTACTAAAAATATATCCCAAGGCATATAGATATATATTTTTGTGCAAGGGCATTTAATTGTTATCATAGTGAATTT